GATCTATAAACACAGGGCTTCAGATAACTGTTGAAATAATAATTTGCAATCCTGGTAGTCCTCTGCTACCATGACCATGTTGATCTTTCAAATAATCTTGCATAAAGACTAAAATTATTTAATACAGAATGCGTAGTAATTAACTATTTTGATTAGAGCTATAAGTCAATTTTTTGATTAGAGCTATAGTCAAACTTCACTGATGTTACTTTTAAAATATTTGACGAAACTGCATCATCTATTCTATAGTTTAATTTAAAACCATGGTTTCTGCTAAACCAATGAAAAAATTTGCTTTTTTTTAATGTCTTTTTAAACAAATAATAAACAAATCAGACTTCACCATTTGTTTATACAATTGAACTAATTTTGTTTCATGTTGAACGTCGCACTTTTAGTGCACATGGTATACCTACAATCTTGTATGCAGATGCACACATGCAAAAATTCTTTATTTTATTGTATGTCTAATGTTCATAATATTTTTTTATTATTATTATTGCAGTACAAAAATCTAAACCACGTTTTTTTTTCTCTCTCTTTCCGTACAGTATAATTATGGATCCAGAATTGTCATCTTCTGTGTGGCCACTTTGCTTAAGTCATTGGACATGGGTTAAAAATAACTTAGTTCTCTGCATTTGCCAGCATTCTTATGAGAAAAAAAGTATATATTCCCTTTTATGTGTGGACTTAAATTCACCTTCCGAAACTAAAGGCATTGCTGCAAGGTAATAGTTAGTTTCTATCAATAACATAAGTATCCCATATTAAAAATTTTACTGTAGCTTTATTTTTTATTTGCAATTTTTATGCTATTCTTGTTATTTTGCCTTTGTAGAAAAGTTGCTGACTTAGACAAATCAGTAGTTGCTATGTGTACAAATAGAGATGGATCTGTTGTTGCTATCCAGTATGAAAGTGGAATGGTTAATCGGCTTGAAATCGGTATTAGTTTTTTGATTAATTTTTTATATACAACAGTTAAAACTTGTAACAAGAATGTCTATTTGGAAATTTTTTGATGGTCTCTCTTCAAATTTTCTATGCATTCAAACTTAAAAACCTCATTTTGCAATTTTTTTATTTATTTTTCTCACGATATTTGAAAAAATTTTTTTTCATAAATATGACGGAAAAATTTCTTATAGATAAAAATACAATTCAGGAAATTTTAGAAAATTAAAATATTCTCTACTATTAATGTGAAGAG